TTAAAAATAGAAACTCATGTTTTTTTCATTCATTGCAATTTTTTAGGCAGAGAAAACCACACAAAATTTTCTGAAGACTACAATAAAGTACTATGCCAGTAACATTGATAAAGCAGAAACGATTACAGTTACATGGGATGGTATAATGACTCAGGTTATTAAAAAATTTAACAGATTAATTAATCAAGAAAAATTAAAAACAAGGCAAATTGTCACTGTGATTTTAAATTATAACTGAACAAATACATTTCACATATCAGATTTATTATTAATAAAAGTTTTAAAAAACCATATTTCATATGTTTAGCTTCACTGTTGTGGAGTAGAAAATTATTTAGATTTTCGAGAGAGCACAAATTGGACAACTACAGATAAGATAGTTCCTGAAGCATGTTGTATAAAAGAAAACAATGTTCTAAAGGATTCATCGTGCCCTATCGCTCCTACTTCTAGCAATTCTTACTATAAGGAGGTCAGAAAATACATAAATCAGAGTTACAACTTTATAATGAAGTAAATATTAAGATGTGCCTGAATTATATGAAAAGGTAGCTAAAAGTTATATAATTATTGTAGGGTTGTTATGATGCAATAATGAGGGCAATTGAAGAAAATGCAGCTATAGTAATTGGCGTTGCAGCTGGATTAGCATTCATCGAAATCTTGGTCATTATTTTAGCTCTACATTTGGCTTGCTGTTATTGGCGACCACAACACGGTAGGCTTGCACTTCTCACTGATGCCTCTTAACCACTAAAAATAATATTTCATTGGAAAATTCAATCAAAGCAATTGATAACATATATTAATCTTGAAGTGAAAAACATGAAGTATAAGTAAAGAAAATTATTTTTTTTAACACTAAGAACCTCTGTAAAATTGTAAATGTTTCTTTTGAAGATCATATAAAACTATTCCTTCAGCTTAAATTAACTTATTGTTAAAAGCTTGATGGACTAGCAACAAAAAAATATTGTATTTGCAGTTTCGAGTAAAACTTAAAAAGTTGTGTGTTTTGCTTTCAAATTTGTTTAAATTGCAATAAACTTGCCATAATTATTTATCTTAATCATAATTCAAAACCATTAAGTTTTTTGAATTGAAAAATTATAGGATAACTTTTTATTTTAATAGAATTATCAGTATTACTATAAATATTGAATAAACTGAAAATTATAAATATTGAAATAGAAATTCAAATAATTATTAACCTTTTGGCGGTCGCATCTACTATATTTTTTAAACAGAAGTGGTCATATTTGAATTAAGAATCCGCAACAATAATTGGTCTTTTTTGCTATCATTTCAGCTTTAAAAGATAATACATAATCAAAAATTATTAGTTTAATAACCAGTTTATTAGAACATAAATCAAACATATTTTCTGAGATCAATAATTAAGGTTAAAGCTTTACAAATTCTATATTTACAGTTTAGATACAAAAATTATTCCGTTTTGTTTTTATTGAAAAATACTTGTGGCAAATTAACAACAAATGTTTTAAGTACATAAAATTTTGACATTTTACTTATGATACCACTGTGAAAGAAAATAACAACAAAATTGATTCGAGATAAATTGAGATTGCAGAACTACACAGAAACTGAAACTTATTCTGCAGTAATGATGATAGAACAAATAACGCTGATTTATAATAATATACTATTAATGAGTAGGTTAAAAAGAAAAATGTATTATTTACATAGGGCGAAATGTAGCATTTTCAGGTAGCTACTTTAGAAAATATTGTCGAAATATTAGAATTATAAAATGCGTACTTGTCAGAAGGTTAAAGTCATTTGAATTGCAATATTTCTGTTATTAAAATTTGTAATTAAATAATTATTTTTTAATAACTATGGTAGTAACTAGTATATCGGAAATATATTTTATTATTTATAAGTTCATATATGAGTAAAATCGTTAACACAAGGTAAACTTATTTTTAGAATACGTTTTGTACATTTATGGAGGATGTCCCATCTAAAACAAATCACTTAATTATCTTTGTTAGTTTTATTGATACAAAATATGTTTGATATGCAATTTGAATGGTATTAAGGAGCAAATACGTTGTAAGAAACATTTTTGTTTCAGTTATTGTATTCTAAATTTTCAAGATCACGATGTTTGCTCATAAGGGCATACTTCTTTTGTGCATGTTATTGTTGGCATTAAACTGCATTTAACCATTTATAATAGTATGACCTTTAAATGATATTTAACTCGCAAAATTAAAGTATGTAAGTAGTTTCATGACATCGCAATCTTCAGCGACAACGGGAGATATGTGGAAGGTCTGACCGATGTCACATTGGGTTTATGACAGAAGTTTCTGGCTTTGCTATTTTGAGGAACGCTAAATAAAATTTTTATTAGAGTCAACCGTTTGAGTTAGATGGTAAGGGCTAAAAATTGCTTTATGGACCTGGAAAAATTGCAGTTCTTCCTGAAACAATCGGAGTTTTGTTATCTGCGATTGTTCGCCTTAGACAATGCATTGTCGTTGACAATTTGGCATCGGCCAGGTCTTTTAGATATCTAAGTGCGATAATAAATGTTTATTTGCATTCACAGATCGTGACCCGTTATTGCTGAAGCTTGTGGTGTCGATGAAATTTCATCCTTTAATTTTGAGAATTGTTATTTAAAGATTATATTATTATACATGTTTGAACGTAGTTTAATATCAACAATAACATGTAAGAAAAAATTCATTTATAAGCAAAAGATATCGGTGACCTTGAAAATTTCGAAAAATGGCCTTGAAACAAAAATATTTCTTGCAACATATTCGCTCTTTGATATCATTTTATTATAACTTGTATCTGTCGTATTATATTATAATTTTTGCTGGTACCGTAATGATAATGAGTTAGAGCAGTTCACGCAATCATTTGTCAGTTCATACAGCACACACAAAACGTTTTCGTTTACAGTTTTAACTTGTTGGTGCTGCTGTTGACAAGATACCCTAAGAGTGAACTCTTCGTACCTTCTTGGCACCTTTCTTCACAGATATGAATCATTGGTTTAAGCTTACTTAAATCTAGCAGAAGATACAGTTCATCATCTACTCATCTATATTTTATTACTTTTTTAAAGATGTTTATAAA